ATCCTACCAACTGGACTGGTCACTGTCTCCAACACAAGGGACTCCCGGACTTTTCCTAACCTTACTGTTGCCTGGGCCACTGCAGTCGGACACCCCTTGGACTGGAAGCCACAACCCACAGACACCATGCTGCTGCAAACCTTTGCTTCAGGCAGAATGGAATCTTACCTCAGCGGCCTATTCTGGGTGTGTGGGCACCGCGCTTATACATGGGTGAGCCCACACATGTCCGGATCCTGCTTCATTGGCTACATCGTTCCCGGAATTAGAATATTACCACACCTACCCCCTGGAAGACAACGGAACAAAAGGGAGCAAAGGGAACTGTCAGACCTGTCAGACGTTGCTGCGAATGGAGAGACCGTAGGCCGAGCACTCTTCCCCGCCTACGGTGCTGGGTCAAACCACGTAGATATTCTCCGACTCACCGACATCCTCCTGAAATTTATGCAGGAGGCGACCCAGATCACAGATTCCCTCATGTCCGAACTATCCGAGGTAAGACAGTTGAGCCTACAGACGAGGATTGCGACCGACTTCCTCTTGTCCAGTCAAGGAGGCACCTGTGCCTTAATAGGTACAGAGTGCTGCACATATGTGACCGACCAGACTTTGAACATAACCGGACATTTAAATAACATTCACGAGTTAGCAGGGAGGCTACACAATATCCAACATGAGGGGCTATCCGATCTGGACTTGTGGGGATGGTTACCCAAGCTAGGATGGCTCCGACAGTTACTGAAAGTCGTACTGCTTCTTATATTGACCGCTGTTTTTTGTGTCTCTGTCTTATGTTGTACCGTGCACTGTATTAGCCCCTGCTGTTCCCTCCTCCGCCACTCTACTTCTTCTAACTCATTCCCTCTTCGAGCCTATTCCCGTTCCCAACACACTAACTTCCCGGACTACGTACAGATGAGACATCTGGGGGAAGGGGAATACGAGATCACGGAAATCTAGCGCTTCTGTGGTGCGGAGAAAGGATTTGCAAGTTCCTTCAGAACTTTAATGCAAATCTATCTCCGAATGGGGGACTGATACGGACCGGGAAAGGGGGGGGTACCTCCTTTCCCCTTCTCCTTTGAACAACCGAGGCGATGACCTCGAGGGTACCCACAGTACACCCACCCTCAGTCCCCTCACCGTTGCACAAGCACCACACGTCTCCCGTAACCCCTTTTTCCTTCTTTCTTTCATGAGCGAAATAAGCTCAAATATATGAACATATTCTCCTATCTCTTCCTATGGCTATTTGCGCTCCATACTTAGAACGAGTAGACCGGGCGTTCCTGTATCTCCGCTTATTCCTATGGCTGCGTCTTAGCCAATCACAGCCATGCATTCATCCTGCAGGAGCTAGCTCAGGGAGCCCTTGCACGCCTCATTGAACCTACTGACAAGCTGCTGACGGCCCCCCACTGTGAGAACAATGGATCCGAAACCAGAGACCTCGTAAAACTGTCAAAATGTATCCATTCTTGCTACAATGTGTCCATTTTGTTTCCGCTTTTGATCACCAACACGGAATAGGTCAGACAGCATAGGAAACCTTTGGAAATTGACATAAAATCAACCATAACTCCGATTTCTTTGCTCTTGGTGTCATTCAACTCAGCTCCCTTTGGACTCCATGATGTGATCCCTACTTCCATAATCCCCGGAGCGACAGGGCACGTACACAGGAACTTCTTAATCCTGTCAGATCGCTTCGCATAACCCTTCCTCCGGGCAATACCAGGTGGCAGACGATGCATATCTCTGGCCCTTTGTCCTGCCACCACCGGTACTTGATAAATGTTTATCTGTGTGTATCTCTCGCTCTACATATTTCCCCCTCCCCTATCTCAAATGTTAATTAGTGTAACCCCACCTTTCTCTGAGATATTCATGACGTGTGTAATATATTCATGATGTAATCCATGAAACCCAACCTTCCCATAATGTATTCATGACGTTTCGTGCACGGTATTCTGGGACTTGGAGGGAACTTTTAAAAGTTTATGTCGCCCCACTCTCGGGGTTCAATTCCACTTTGAACCTGTTGCGCAATAAACTTGGATCTTCGCATTTTGCTCCTGCGTCCGGCTGAGCTTCCTTTTCTTCCGCTAGAATCCACGGACTTGATCCGATTGGCTGGGTGGCAGGGTAAATACGCACCCAGATTTTCCGTAACAGATCTAAGCTCGTGGGGTGGGGTGGGGGAGGATGTTGCACTTGTGGGGGGGGACCCTCTTTGCAGCTGGATCTCCGGGATCAGCCCCTCCCCCGCTCTCCTGATCCAGAAGGAAGAGGGGAGGGGGGAAACCTTCCTCTCCCCCCCTCAATTCTTTCCCTCCCCTCCCGGCACATCAACCTCTCACCCCGCCCCCACAAGCCCAGATCCCGCCCCCAAATGTCCCACCCCTTCCTCCTCCTCGTCCAATCCGGCTTCTGTTCCAGGAATGTGAGGGGGGGTGCTGCTCTGCCCCACAGCTCTAGGGGGGGCGCTTTCGGAAAGGGGAGGGAGGAGGCAGGGGACCGCCCCCCCCCCCGTGGATGTTGCAGGAAAGGAGAGGAGAATCGGGAGCGAGGACAAAGAGGTAAAGGGGTCGCGGAGGAGAGGGGAGAGGGGAGAAAGGACCCAGGAACCAGAGACCCCTCCAGCTCCCCCAAGCGCCTTCCGTGGGGCCTGGATCCCGGCACGCGTGCTGCGAAGGGGCGGAGATGGGGCGCCCACCCACGAGGACTCCCAGGCCCCATTTCCCCCGCGCAGGAGAAGCCAGGATAGAGACCCCCTGTCTTTCCCCGGCTCGTCTTGGGGGGGGGCAATAGAGGCGGAGAGATGGGTCGCGCCTGGCGAGGGTTGAGCTAAGGCGGCGTCTGGGTGCAGGGGAGACTCAGGGATGGGGGCGCAAGGGCGGGGGAGGAGGCGGGAGGAGACGAGGACCCAGAGACCCCGCCAGCTCCCCAAATCGCCTTCCGTGGGGCCTGGATCCCGGCACGCGTGCTGCGAAAGGGGGCTTTCCTCGCAGGGCGGACCCCTCACCCCATTTCCCAGGCTCCGCGCGTCCCATGAAAGGGTTAAGGGGCGCGAGAGACGCCTGGATAGAGACCCCCCAGTCCCTCCCTTGCTCCTGTTCGGGGGGGGGCTAGGATGGAGAGATGGGGCGCGCAGGGCGAGGTGTCAGTCGCGCTAGAGTGCAGGGGATTCTGCGGGAGAGAGGGAGGGGGAAGGGAAGAGGAGCACTGGGGGGGGAGATAGGAAGACCAGTTTTTTGGGGGGCGTCTCAATCGTGGCTTCCTTAGGCAATCTTCGAAGGGGCCGCCTTGGCTTCTCCCTCCCGCCCAGGAATGCCCCCCCTTCAAGGCGACCAGAGAGGGATCCCTGAAAAGTGGGGGTCCTGCCCCCCCTTCCATCCTGCAATCTCCATTCTCTTCCCACCCCATGTCCCTGCCCTGTCCGGACGCAGCGCTTCTGCCCAGTCCAGTCCAACCATTGGTCCCCTGGAGAGGAGAGGAAATCCCCAGAGGAAGAGGGGAGGGGGGAGGCCTTCTCAGAAGCGGCTCTTGGTTTCTGCCATCCCACCCAGGAAGCAGCCAGAAACCTTTTCCTCTCTCTCAGGCTTCCATCTTTATTGTCTTTTCCACTGAGGATGAGGATAATGTACACCTGTCATCAGAAACAGGGATGCAGAGTCCATGGAATGACTCTTAGGCTTGATACGGAAGCTGCACCTCAAAAGCATTTCTGTTCCCCCTATTCTTTGTAGGCAATGTCAGAGGGACTGACAAGCTGAGATACAACCCATCAGCATCTGATGACAGCGACTGCATGAATCTTCCCAGTCAAAGGACCCATTTTCATGATAGACAGTGCCTGTGGCTGGAGGCTCTACACACTGGGTGTGCCTGTGCAGGCCAAAAACTGCCAGTATTAGCACAGGTGAGATGTGTGTCATTCCCAAATTTACAGACTGTATGTGAATGAGAGTTTGTGGGTGGGATTATAATTTACGACAACCCTGTGATTTTCTCTTCCCATAACATTTCGTAACCTAATATTGCAGTAAAAATTCCAAAATAACTACAAAAAATCACAAGATAATATTAATAGTACAGTGGTACTTTGGGTTAAGAAGTGAATTCGTTCTGCAGGTCCATTCTTAATCTGAAACTGTTCTTCACCTGAAGCACCACTTTAGCTAATGGGGCCACCATGCCGCTGGAGCACGATTTCTGTCCTCATCCTGAAGCAAAGTTCTTAACTAAAGGTACTATTTCTGGGTTAGCAGAGTCTGTAACCTGAAGCTCCTGTAACCCGAGGTATCACTCTAGACCTTATAGTATTCATCTTTTCCCCCAGCCGCTCTGGGCAGCTTACAGTACATATAGGTAAAGGTAAAGCGACCCCTGACCATTAGGTCCAGTCGTGGCCGACTCTGGGGTTGCAGCGCTCATCTCGCTTTACTGGCCGAGGGAGTCGGCGTACAGCTTCCGGGTCATGTGGCCAGCATGACTAAGCCGCTTCTGGCAAACCAGAGCAGCGCACGGAAATGCCGTTTACCTTCCCGCCAGAGCGGTACCTACCGTATTTTCGCTCTATAAGACACACCTAGTTTTGGGGGGAGGAATCCAAGCGGAAAAAAAATTTTTGAATCCCAGAAGCCAGAACAGCAAGAGGAATCTGGCTTCTGGGATACTGTGTGGCTGTTCTGGCTTCTAGGATAACAGCGCCAAGGGCAGCAGGATGAAGAGGCTAAGGCAGAAGCCAGGACAGGTGCCTTGCTGAAGGGGCGCTGCGCAGTTCTCCCTCTTTGTGCAGCCAAAGACTGATAAGGCATAACAGGATCCAAAAATAGCAAAAATGTAACTCACAGTAAAACCCTGACTTAGCAATCCAAAACAGCACTCAAGTAAGAAACAGACAAGCAGAGTAGAGTAAATATCAGAATATGAAGTGGGACCAGGCTCATTTCAATACTGTAATTCATATATAATTCAATGTCAGAGAACCCTGGCACTAGATAACAAGCCTCCAGGTGGACGTGCCCCATCTGCCCTTCACTTTCCTCTTCCGCACGGGCAGAATCTCCCTTCTGGACTGTGGGATTCACGGTTGTTCTCCTCCTCTCCATCCACCAGGGCTTGACTTCAGGTGCAGCAGAATTCCCCAGCCCCCCAAGGATTTGAGACCCATCAGCTTTCCTCACCTGGTTTAGCCGGCCGGTTGAAGCCGTTGCTTGAACCCCTGTTGCATGCTGACAGCTTCTGGAAGCCACAGGTGAGAGCTGAGTGCAGGGTGGGCACCAAGGGTGGAAAAATGACCCCAGAAGGTGCAGGACATGTCCCCCACCAAAGGAACTACTGCTCCCCAACACCCCATGACATCTAGATTCAGGTAGGTAGCCGTGTTGGTCTGACACAGTTGAAATAAAAAATTAAAAAATAGGGACCAACTATGGTTATTCTATGTATAAGCTTTCGTGTGCATGCACACTTCTTCAGATACACTGAAACAGATGTCACCAGACCCTTGTATATCGTGGGAGGGTGGGGTGGGTTTTTTCTCAGAAAGGTACTCCTACTACCATCTCCCACTACCCTTCACTATATGAAGAAGTGTGCAACCACATTAAGTGTGCAAGCACTTGGTCCCTAAGGTGCTGTTGTTGCTGTTGTTGTTGTTTAGTCACTTAGTCGTGTCCGACTCTTTGTGACCCCATGGACCAGAGCATGCCAGGCACTTCTGTCTTCCACTGTCTCCCGCAGTTTGGTCAAACTCATGCTGGTAGCTTCGAGAACACTGTCCAACTATCTCATCCTCTGTCGTCCCCTTCTCCTTGTGCCCTCCATCTTTCCCAACATCAGGGTCTTTTCCAGGGAGTCTTCTCTTCTCATGAGGTGGCCAGAGTCTTGGAGCCTCAGCTTCAGGATCTTTCCCTCCAGTGAGCACTCAGGGCTGATTTGCTTCAGAATGTATAGGTTTGATCTTCTTGCAGTCCATGGGACTCTCAAGAATCTCATCCAGCACCAGAATTCAAAAGCATCAATTCTTTGCTGATAGCCTTCTTTATGGTCCAGCTCTCACTTCCATACATCACTACTGGGAAAACCATAGCTTGAACTATAAGGACCTTTCTTGACAAGGTGATGTCTCTGCTTTTTAAGATGCTATCTAGGTTTCTCATTGCTTTTCTCCCAAGACCCCAAGTTGCTACTGGACTATTTTTTACTTCAACTGTGTCAGACCAATATGGCTACCTACTTTTGAGTACATTTATCTCCTTGCCTTGAATATCCTGCCTTTCAGTGCCAGATTAGGATAGTCCTTTGTCAGAAGACAAGCCGAGGATCAGGCAGCACATCATCATTATAAAGAACCATTGGGGTGGGTGTTTCCATCTGGGATTCCCATTTGCCATCTTCTCTCCTTCTGCTTCTCCTGCTCTTCATGCAATGTGAGGCATATAGACAGAGGTTCATCTCCGAGAACAGGAGCTTCCCTTAGCACCCATTCAGCTGACCCCAAGCACCAAGCCTTGTCACTAGTTCTCTGACTGACCCAGACCACAGTCCCCAGAAAAGACATAGACCTGGGTCTCCCAAAATGGTCCATATGGACCTCCTGAGGTCAGTGGGACTGTGCAGGTGATTCATGAAGATCTAGAGTTGGAAATGGGGGCAACCACATGATTTGAAAGGCAGTCCCACAGGACAACAGTATTCCAAGATCATGCTGTGTTATTAAAGTTGATTGAGGATTATGAAAGGTTCCTGATGCATTACTACCATTAGACATCATACCATTTTCATTTTCTAAAAATTGGGAACCTGGCTAGGACATGGGAGAATGTAGGAGATGTTGAAATAAGAGAAGGTGCTAATGGCGATTGATGTATCCTTTTTTTTGTGTGTGTTCTTTTTCCTGAAGCCCAAACAGGATTTCCTTTCTGCCCACTCTGAAAAAGGGGATGGAGAAGACAGAATAGCAGGGGACAAGGCACCTTTTGTTTCATTAGGAATAGCCATTAAAATGTGTGAAATGTGGAATATGCTTCACTGAATGAGCACACATAGTTCACATCCACGAACACAAAAAGGAAAGAACCCACTTAAAGGTATGGAGTGCGGAAACAGCTTCTCTTTCAATGCAAAACTTAGAACACACCTGCGGACTCACACAGGGGAAAAACTATATTTATGTACGGAGTGTGGAAAGAGCTTTAATGATAGTGGAAGCCTTAGACAACATCGATGGACTCACACAGGGGAGAAACCGTTTCAGTGTATGGAGTGTGAAAAGAGTTTTAGTAATAGTGGAAGGCTTAGAAGACATCAACAGACTCACAAAGGGGTGAAACCATATAAATGTATAGAATGTGGAAAAAGCTTCAGTCAGAATGCAGACCTTAAAAAACATCAACGGATTCACACAGGGGAGAAACCATATAAATGTATGGAGTGTGGAAAGAGCTTCGGTCAGAGTGGAGAGCTTAGATCACATCAACGGACTCACACAGGGGAGAAACCATATAAATGTATGGAGTGTGGAAAGAGCTTCGGTAAGAGTGCACACCTTAGAAATCATCATCGGATTCACACAGGGGAGAAACCATATGAATGTATGGAGTGTGGAAAGAGCTTCGGTCAGAGTGGAGAGTTGAGAAGACATCAACTGACTCACACAGGGGAGAAACCATATAAATGTATGGAGTGTGAAAAGAGCTTTAAAGAAAGTGGAAACCTTAGAAGACATCAACGGACTCACACAGGGGAGAAACCATTTAAATGCATGGAGTGTGGAAAGAGCTTCAGTCAGAATGCAGACCTTAGAAATCATCAGCGGACTCACACAGGGGAGAAACCATTTAAATGCATGGAGTGTGGAAAGAGCTTCAGTCAGAGTGGAGAGCTGAGAAGACATCAACGGACTCACACAGGGGAGAAACCATATAAATGTATGCAGTGTGGAAAGAGCTTCGGTCGGAGTGGAGAGCTTAGATCACATCAACGGACTCACACAGGGGAGAAACCATATAAATGTATGGAGTGTGGAAAGAGCTTTAAAGAAAGTGGAAACCTTAGAAGACATCAACGGACTCACACAGGGGAAAAACCATTTAAATGCATGGAGTGTGGAAAGAGCTTCAGTCAGCGTGCACACCTTAGTAATCATCAACAGACTCACACAGAGGAGAAACCATATAAATGTATAGAGTGTGGAAAGTGTTGGCTATTTGCAGTATGGTAGCGCTGCAGAGAGCTTGCTGGGGAGACCATGCATTAAAAAGGGACTCAAAAATAACTTAAACAAGGTTTTAATTACAAAAACAAAAACTCCTTATACACTAAATACATCAACAAACAAACATGACCCAACCACCAACCCATCCCCCAGGGTAATGGGAGAGCTAGGTGCTGCTCCTTATATACTCTACCCAATTGCTGACACAGCTTAATTAATACAACTCAGCAGCACCTGCTATGTTTCACAGCTGTAAAGCTGGGTCTCGTTATCTTGCTCTGGCCCTTGCTCTGGCCCCTTAAAGACACACACATCGGGTGGAACAATGATGAACCTTTACATTTAAAGTAACCATTCAACATTTCCCCTGTGGTTCATCATTGTGGAACAAAAACATAAAGCATATTTTGTACATGTCTTTCATGTGTAACCTTTGGAAGTGCTTTTGTAAAAATGTCTGCAATTTGATTGTCACCTGGAACATATTCAAATACAACAATTTTGTCAGCAATTAGTTTCTTTACAAACTGTAAACGTAATCTTAAGACTCTAGTGCGCTACGTATTGGTCTCTGAACACAGGATAGCGAGTCCACTCTGGGAATCAAGGTAAATTTTTACTGGTAGTGTTACTTGCATCTGTAGGTCTGCAAATACTTGCAGATACCATTCTACATCACGAGTGGCCTGACCGCATGCACATAATTCACTCTCTGTTGTGGAGAGACAAATAATGTTTTGTGTCTGGGACTTCCATTCAAATGGACAACCGTTATAACAAAACACCATACCAGACACACCCCTGCAATTATTTTGTTCCACTGCATGAGATGCATCGCAGAAAATTTCAAAACCTTTGTCAATACTTGATGTAAACTGCAACCTATAATCAAAATAAAAAAATTCCTTCCAGTAGCACCTTAAAGACCAACTAAGTTAGTTCTTGGTATGAGCTTTCGTGTGCATGCACACTTCTTCAGAACTGTGCATGCACACGAAAGCTCATACCAAGAACTAACTTAGTTGGTCTTTAAGGTGCTACTGGAAGGATTTTTTTTATTTTGACTATGGCAGACCAACACGGCTACCTATCTGTAACTGCAACCTATAATGTTTGGTATGTTTAAGGTACATCACCACTCTCTTAAGAGCAGAGAAACATTGCGTAGTGGGCTTTTCCACAAATTTTGCCAGAAAGTGAAAAGCATAAGTTATATCTGGTCTTGAGATTCTTTGAACAAAATTTAGCTTGCCTATAGCAGAACGATTCAAAGTTTTGTTAGGAAATGGCTTATCTTCACCTGTAAAGGTGAAACCACACACCATAGGCGTTTGCTCCCCATTTGCATTTTCTAAACATAGCATTTCAACAAGATCATCAATTTTTGCAGTTTGATGAACCAGAAAAAATCCATTTTTGCCTTTCTCAATTTGCACGGATAAGTAATTTTTAGCTATGCCTAATTCCACCACATCAAATTTCTTCTGTAACTGTGTTACTACCTGTTCATATTCCTGTTTAGTTTTTGTAGAAATTAACACGTCATCTACATACACACATATTTTTGCTACAGTTTGCCCTTTCCTTTATAAACACACAATTGTCTGCCTTTCCCTGTGAAAAACCAGTATCCAGCAATTCTTTCGCTAACATTTGGTGCCAATTCCTTCCACTTTGGTGCAGACCATAAAGGGATTTATTTAATTTGCATACCAAACCTTCAGCGGCGCCTATGCCTTCAGGAACACGCATAAAAATTTGTTCTTTTAAATCTGCAAACAAATGTGCAGTTTTTATATCTAGGTGATAAACAGAATGTCCACGTTGTGATGCATCTTTTAACAAAAGCTTAACTGTTTCATATATTACACTTGGTGAATAACACAAATCATAATCTTCGCCTGGAATTTGTTGAAAACCCCTAGCAACTAATCTAGCCTTGTACCTTACAACTTCATTTATGTCATTCATTTTAACTCTATAAACCCATTTTGAATCAATAAGTCTCATATCTGGGGTTTGTCGTACAAGAGACCAAGTGTTGTGCTCTTTTAAAGAAGCTATCTCGGAGTTCATAGCTTTATACCAATTTACAGCTTGGTGCTTAGGTAAATTCTGAACATCATTGTAACTTTTTGGCTCAAAAGCCACCTTATTGGCATACACAGTATTAAAATGTTCATCTGCAAAACGTTGTGGCTTCTGCCTCTTTCTATCTGAACGTCTCAGTCCGGAAGGAGAGTCAGACTCCTCAGACTTAATGGGACTAAGTGAACTACTAGTTTCAGGTTGTAAATCATCATTGTCAGGCTGAAGAGATGCCTGTAGGCTAAGCTCACGGTCAGAAAACTCAAGAGAATATAACCTCCCCTTGGGTGCCTGTGACTTTAAATCATCAAACAAATTATCAAATTCAACAGGCTTTTCATCTTTTTCCATTAATTCAGAAGCACCATTTCCTGCGGCTGCGGCTGCTCCTTCCTCTGTATTACCTATACCATTAGTATCTTGGAAAACAGCAACTCCATTCCAATTTACAGTTTGTATCATGCTTCTGGTAATATGAAATTTGCCAGTTGCTGGTATGTAAATTCTGTATGCCCCCTGCTGGTAGCCCATTAATTTTCCCTGAACACTACGCTCACCCAATTTCTGCTTAGTGGGATAATGCATAATTACATCTGAACCCCAAATACATAGGTATTTCAGATTAGGGTGTTTTTTAAACAACTTCTCATAGGGGGTGACATCTAAACCAGAATGATAACTGCAATTTCTAACATAACAAAAGGCATTGAGCACTTCAGCCCAAAAGACTTTGGGCAGATTGGCATCGTGCAGATAAGTTTTAACCCCTGCCTGCAGGTCACGCTGCACAACTTCAACAAGCCCATTTTGCCAGGGACTTCGGGGGCAAGATAACTCATGAGTAGTCCCCTGCGCTTCCAGGAATTTCTCAAAATCCTCAGAAACAAATTCCCCGCCCCAGTCAGAAAACAGGTTCTTAATAGGTTTGTTAAAGTGCGTTTTTACCCAGTTGCAAAAAACTTTGCTGCCACATACACCCGGACAACACCATTACTGGCCCCAACAACATCACACATACCATCTCGGGACTATTTAATTGCTCATCGTCTAACATTGTGTATGCCATCAAATGCCAACAGTGTCCTTCAGCTCTCTATATTGGACAAACAGGCCAAACCTTACGCCAAAGAATAAACGGACATAAATCTGACATCAAGAATCACAAAACAGAGAAACCAGTAGGAGAACACTTCAATCTCCCAGGACATTCTATACAAGATCTCAAAGTAGCTGTTTTACTACAAAGGAATTTCAGAAATAGACTGGAAAGAGAAGCTGCTGAATTGCAACTCATTACCAAACTTAAAACAATGGAGAGACCTGGTCTGAACAAAGACATTGGATTCTTATCTCATTATACCTGACTAAGCCATTTCTCACCTTCTCACCCCTTGCCTTTTCCTGTAAGACCTATTACAGTCTATAAGAGTCGTCAACAGGCTCATCAGGCTCATCTCAACTATCTGCCAATCTCCGATTCCCACCACCCTTCTGAGTAATACCCCTCCCCACCTTCTCTATATATAGAAGGATCTGGCAACTTCTGTTTCAGTGTATCTGAAGAAGTGTGCATGCACACGAAAGCTTATACCAAGAACTAACTTAGTTGGTCTTTAAGGTGCTACAGGAAGGAATTTTTTTATTTTGACTATGGCAGACCAACACGGCTACCCATCTGTAGCAAAAAACTTTGTACTTCTCAAATGCTTGGGACTTCTCAACTATTGCATAAGTCCAACAATATCTGCTATACTGGTCTATCAGGGTAAGCCAGTACTTAGAACCTCCTAATGATGGTGGGGTGGTCCAACTAAATCACAATGTACATGCTCAAATGGCTCAGTTACTTTTCTATCTGAGCACTTACCCTTGCGTGCAACCTTAATCTTATTCTTGCAACAGGATAGACATTGCATAAAGAATTTACATGGTTTTAATTTGAGGCCATTAACAATATTCTTTGTCTTAATTACATCAGCAAAATTCAGATGTCCCAGAATTCTGTGTGCCTCATGGACACACCCGGAATGTCGCCTTACATTCCTCAACCCCTGGCTTGACTGTGCTGCTCTGCAATTTATAGGCGATTGTGAGTAGGTGCAAAAGTACAGTCTATATGAACCATCAGATTCCCGGGCATACAATAGACATTTGTTCCCCTCGAAAAACTCACACATTGACTTTAAGAAACGCACAGTTATGCCTTGACGAGCAAAGCACCTTACTGATAATAAATTGTCCACTGATGGGCAGTAAATGCAGTTCGCTATAGTAATGTTTAAAGAGTCAAGTTTAACAGTACCCCTACCAAGCGACTACAGAGTACCGCTACAGAGGAAGAGTTTCCGTTGTAATACAAGCCTTAGATCAGATCAACGGACTCACACAGGAGAGAAACCATTTACATGTGTGGAGTGTGGAAAGAGCTTCAGTTATAGTGGAAACCTGAGAATACATCAACAGACTCACATAGGTAAGAAACTATTTAAATGTATCAAGTGCGGAAAGAGCTTTAGTGAAAATGGAAGCCTTAGGAAACAACGGACTCACACAGGAGAGAAAACATATAAATGTATGGAGTGCAGAGATAATGGTGATTATCTTTGGTGATAATGGAAAGCTTAGATCACATCAACGGACACACACAGGGGAGAAACCATTTCAATGTATGGAGTACAGTAACTGCTTCACTCAGAGTGGAAATCTTAGAAAACATCAGCAGACACACAGGGGAGAAAGTATTTAAAGGTATGGACTGTGGAAGGAGCTTCAGTCAGAGTGGAACCCTTGATTTTTGTCAACAAACTCACACAAAAGACAAACCATATAAATATCAAGAAAGTAGATAGAGGTTCACTCTTAGTGGAAGTTCAGAATCAACAGACTTA